TAAATTTTTAGCAATCTGTCATTTCAATTTTTTCCTCAAATGAATTTCTTCCATTTTTTCACATTGCCAAATTGAGGAGAAGTGTTGAAGTGCAAGTTGGCAATGCAGTGTAAAACTATTAAGTTGGTAGTACGGAGTACTAACCTAGTCGTGTGAGACTGCGTGCTGTAGCGTAGTCAGGTTTTCTTACATAATGTGATAACTAGAATAAATCTCTGTTCGGTCATCTTAACTCTCTTCAATGCCTTCCTTTTTTACATATTATCCACTGCTTTAATTAAGCTACCTCAACAAAATGCTTTTTGCTGTTTGTTTTTTTGGGATCTCTATCTTGCTGCCAAGCGCTTAGGTGAACAAGAGAGTACCTAAGAAAAAATCAGTGCTACTTGAAGCCAGGTGATTGCCAGCCCGACAGGTAATTTTTTCTCTTGTGTTTGTTTGCATTCTGAAATGTTTTTGTTTTGATACACACATTGACATATTCAGTATGTGTACAGCAGAATAGCTATACTGCCCAAAACTACCAAATTCTAGATAAACATAAGTAGGTAGGCGACTACTTTAAATTTTAAAGGGTTTTTAAACAAGCTTCCATGAAGTGTTCTTGTATTTCAAAAAGCTTTAGGGGGGCACACAGACGTAACACAGATAAGCATGTGTGTAAACAGCAAACCACAATTATTTTGACTGCCCCCAAGTTTCTTCAATGGAATGGACCAGTGGACAAGGTACGAATTGCAGCAATCCGATTTATGTTTCTCAATCTGAATTTCACGTAGAACACGATGCGCACAACAAAAATTACCGAAATCAACTCCTTACGAAGATATCTAATGATTCTTCATGCGTGAATTCAAACCATCCGCTTATGAAAACTCAATGCTCTACTGAGTTACCTACCTTGAAGGTAGACACTGAACCTCTCTGATATCATTTTGAAGGAGACTAATTTTGGAACAGATGGGTAAATTTTAGCCATCAAGGTGTCCATAAAGGTTTAAATTGTTCTTGCTTAATGATTTGTACGGAGATAATTGAATATTTTAGCATGAAAACATACAGGGTGTTTCAGACCACCCGTACCAGGCCTTTTTCTCGGTTGTTTTAGGTCGTACAAAGTCGGTGACCGCGGGGTTGAATAGGGAATTGACCCCAAGGAATCATAAATTGGTCCCGAAACCCCCCTCCCCCGGTCCCCCTTGGGGGGTAAAGGGGGGTCACGATGCTAAAAGTCACGGTTCCCGACCGAATGGACCTGTTGCAAACTTTTGCTAGAGCAAAAATAAGAGTTGTTTCTTGTAGATAATGCCTCTCTCGTCGCGGACTTCAAATACCCGCGGATCCGGCGGGAGCGGCGAGCACCTCGGCGCGTTCAGACGGCTCGCGTTCAGCCGCACATGGTCCGATTATTGAATTTGAAATCAGATAATATTGACGCCTGACGTGGAACTTCTAAATAAAAATGGGAATGGGCCTATTGCAAACATTTGCTAGAGCAAGAATAAGAGTTGTTTCCCATAGATGATGCCTGAAAAATCACGATGAGCGCATCGGCAAAGTCTGAAATGCACTCATAACTTCACAATCTGCGTAAGAAATTTGCGTTTTTTTAAGCTTTCCGCTTCAAAAACGATACTACGGCACAGGTGAACATTTTGTTAGAGGAGTCGCTCCATCGTCGGCGATATTCATCATGGCCGACGCTTGCGCGCAGTTCCGCGCGTAATTCGAGGAGAGTTCAAGGTCAATCAATTCGGGCGTGGAAAATATGAACGTTAACACACCGATTGTTATCTGGTCTAATGCTGTTCAGATGTTATCTCGTCCCATCAATCGTGTTTTGGCGGATTGGCGTCGGCCATGATGATTATTGCCGACGATGGAACGACTCCTCTTACAAAATGTTCACATGTGCCGTAGTATCGTTTTTGAAGCGGGAAGCTCAAAAAACCGCAAATTTCTTACGCAGACTGTGAAGTTATGAGTGCATTTCAGACTTTGCTGATGCGCTCATCGTGATTTTCGAGGCATTATCTATAAGAAACAACTCTTATTTTTGCTCTAGCAAAAGTTTGCAACAGACCCATTGCGGATTGATCGCATCAGAATTGAAAGGCACGAAAAATTTCACGTGAAATTGACCCCTTAAAATCCATAATCGGCCCATCCGAAACCCAAAAATGATCCCTTAAGAGGGAGACAGTACCCCCCTCCATAATTGCTCTTTGATCTCAAAATTGACGTAGATTCTCCAGATAAAGATGGTTTCCGAGGTAATCGACCCCGAGAAATCCAAATTTCATGGTCCCGAAGCTCCTCAATCGCCCCTTGGGGGTAAACGGGGGGCCCAATTTTAAAAATCGGGGCTCCTTTCCGAATCGCAAATTGATTGCATCCAAACTGAGGAGCAGAACACATTTACATCTTAAGTGACCCCCAAGAGTTCTAATTAACCCCCCTGCAGGCTGATTATTTACTTTCATAGATCTCGGCTATAGATCTGCAAATCTCATCTATCGCGCATCTATGATCAAACTATTTGTGATTCTACACTGTGATTCTATCCGATGGATGAGCGATAGATCAGCAGAATTGGAATACAGTGTTGAACGATTGCTTTGAGATGAAAATAATCGTTCTAACCAATCAGACACCTTGATTCACCGAGTGAAGAAGAAGAAGCGCGTAGGAAACCTAACCTCCTAATAGATCATTTATCGTGTTTTACTCAGAGACAAGAGACCCTCCACTGGCCTCCTAGCGACAGGTGGAAGCTTTTACTTTCGGGGTTTCAACAATTCCTTATGGACAATTATGAGCGAGCAACAGTCATCACCCTATTTTCGGCTGTTGACTTACCTACATGGTCGATGATGAGCTTCGGATGGCGTCATAAGCCAAACAACTTTCCCAAACGTCGGCCATTTTCGGCTTGTTTGCGAAACGAAACTGCCAACACGTTGTTGAACATCAACCATGTAGGTAAGTCAACAGTAGAATGCTGAAGTCCCGAAAGTAAAAGCTTCCACCATGGCCAAGTTACTAGTGGAGGGTCTCTTGTCTCTGGTTTTACTCAACTCCGTCTTATCAGCTACCGTGGCGCAGTGGATAGCGGCGTCGATATTCAGTCGCTACCAATCCGAGCTATGGTGGGTTCGAATCCCGCCGCGGCAGTACCAGTCGGCCAATCAGAAGCACAGTTTTAATAGATGTCACCGTATCTACTGCCTGAGGGCCGGGGGATCCGCATCTATCAGTGGATCTATGGCTGGATCTATTGAAATTAGTTCTGAATCGCTCGGAATTTCTGTCTCATAGATCCGCAGCCCGCATCTATCAAGGTCAATAGATGAGGGAAGTAAATAATCAGCCTGCTGAACGACAGACAGTAACCTCCTGAGGAGGGGGGCTTCGCCTCCTCCAAAAATTACTCAAGATTCCTCTAAGGTCGCAAAATTTACGTCGATTCTCTAGAAAAAGACGGTTTCTTCCCAAAAGGGTGGGGAGCGGAGCTTAGGGACCATGAAATTCAGAGTCCTCGGTGTCGATTACCTGGAAAACCGTCTTTTTCTGGAAATCAAAGTAAATTTTGCGACCTAAGAGGAATCTTGAGAAATCTTTGGAGGAGGCGAAGCCCCCCTCCTCAGGGGGTTACTTTCTGTAGTTCAGGGAGGTCAAGTAGAACTCTTGGGGTTCACTTAAGATGTAAATGTGTTCTGCTCCTCAATTTGGATGAAATCAATTTGCGATTCGGAAAGGAGCCCCGATTTTTAAAATTGGGCCCCCCGTTTACCCCCAAGGGGAAAACAGAGGACCATGAGATTTGGATTTCTCGGGGTCGAATACCTCGGAAACATCTTTATCTGGAGAATCTACGTCAATTTTGAGACCAAAGAGCAATTATGGAGGGGGGTACTGTCTTCTCTTTAGGGGGTCATTTTTGGGTCTCGGATGGGCCGATTATGGATTTTTAGGGGTCGATTTCACGTGAAATTTTCCGTGCTTTTCAATTCTGATGCGATTAATCCGCAATTCGGTCGGGAACCGTGACTTTTAGCATCGTGACCCCCCCCCCCTTTACCCCCCAAGGGAGGCCAGGGAGGTTTCGGGACCACGAAATTCGTATTCCTTGTGGTCAATTCCCTATACAACCCCGCGGTCACCGACTTCGTACGACCTAAAACAACCGAGAAAAAGGCCAGGTACGGGTGATCTGAAACACCCTGTATTTTCAAAATCTTGTTGAGTTGTAGTGGTCGGAGAAATTTTAAAAACACAAGCTGATTTTCTCTCAAGAATACATCGGGATGCAATAAGGAGGTTCTCAGCCCAATATGTCATTGCATGGCTGCTGTTCTTTTTTATCATTTTTTCCCCACATTTTTAAATTTTCATTTTCCTCCTTTGTATTTAGACACTTTTTTTTTCAGTAGTTCTTGCCTTTAGTTCTTCAGTTGAATGCGAGAGCATATACTTAACCATGAAGCAAGACACTTTGGATGCGGAGTGTGAATATGAGGAAGAGTCTTGATTTCAATCTTATTGGCAGGAAAATTAGGTGCCTGCATGAAATGAGATCAAGTAAGAGTCAAGATATCAAAGGACCATATCAAAAAGGGGAGGGGGGGGGGCTATATATTGGGGTAGTTGTTTGACATGAATGTTCTTACAGGAAGAGAATCAATGTTTCCATGACACTAAAATTCATAGAAATCCCTGTGTAGATCCTTAATTATTCCTTATACAGAAAAAATTAAATATCTTATGGAAAAAGCAGGAGTTCTCATGGATGAATTGTGATATACCTAAAGACACTTTAAACACAGAGGTGTGCATTGATTCAATTGGAAGAGTAAATTGGTTGTGAGAAAAGTGTAAGCCTCCCTGGAATAGGATCCATTGAATAAATTTGCAACCACTGAATCCGCATATAGCACCAGTTGACTACTGGGGATGCATATAAAGATATAGAAAAATGATGGAAAATTAAATAAAACCAATTTCGTTTTATTAAAAAATTAATATTTGGAATTTACAAAGATTTTAAAATAGAAAGGAGATGACACCACTGCACTGCAAAGTTACGATAATTGAACTATCATTTTATCAATAAATTGTGAAAGTATCAATTTTTAAAAAAAAATTGGGCAAACTAGAGCTTGACATCTTACTTTGCTAGATATTTGGCTACAAAGGTTTCTTCAAATTTTTCATCTCGGGAAAGACCCCTGAACATCTTTTGCGATGTCCTCTTAATAAATTGCTGTCTATAATGAGATACAGGTGATCAAGAGGAGACGCCTAAACTCCCCTTGAAATGTGCTCCTAATACGATTTCTAAGAAGTAAGAAGTAACCAAGAGGACTGGAGGAGTGACTTCACAATTTTTCAAGAGAGAGCCAATTTTTATGGCGATAGAATTTTTGTCATTTTGCCTTTCTGCTCAGGGCACGGTGAATATTCTTGACTCATGTTCTGACTCGTTTTACGGCTACTCTTATGCACTTTTCAGTGACCTCTCCTCCTGGTTACATCACAAGAAAAAAATTGGGGAAATACAAATAATGCAATTCGCCTGATTTTTTAGAATACCTAATACAAAAGAGAAAAACAAACTTCAACTGACCCCTTCTTAAAAAATTTCAATAAGTAATTTTCATACACGCATCAGAGAGAAAGGGTGAACCGTTTAGTAATATTAGAGTCTTCCTTACACTTTCAGTTTCCTTATCAAAAATGTAATCTTCCGAAACCTAAGTCCACAGTGATTAACACTCCAGAGATACAGAAAAATGGAGCAGGAAGAAAATTTCCAGACTTTTTCATCAGATCCCTCCAGAACGTCTTCATAAATTGCTTGGCATTTTTCCTTTGGCTCTTTCCACTTCCCTGGCCTTGAAGAGAATTGTCGGTCATTCAATGAGACACACCCCCTCCTCCCCCTCCTCCCCCCTTTACAAATTGTGGGGAAAAACACAAAAGTAATAAAGCGAGAACATGGGAGGAAATGAAAATAGAAAAAACTGTGATTCAATTTTGAGCCTATTTTTACCTCTCATATCTACAAGCAGGGAAAAAATATTAAGAAAGGCAAAAGTACCAACTGTTCATTACAAAACTATGAGGTCAAGTTTCGTGACGAAATGACTAAGGATAAAATGAGAATGCACAATTCCTTATGAATAAAATTTGCCATTTGACCTAGTGACTCATATGATACAGTACAGCTATATATTCAAAATTATCATATTACGAAATGAAATCCCACATAGAATCCCCAAGTCCCAAGACCGGAGAAAGTAGATACGCATGCGACATGCGAGCTGATGGAGGTTAAATTCGAAAGAACAACTCATTTTTTGCCAATTGACAACTGGTTGTGCTCATTTGGTTAAATAATCCCTATTTTGTGAAATTTTTTTGAAAAAAAAATCGAAAATAAATCTCTCTTTAGATTTTGGGTTTTGCACTCAAAGCAAACGGGGGTGTACCCTCAAAGATCAAACGAAAAATTGGCTTTAGTCGTCGAAACAGTACAGGCATAGCCACCGCAAATAAGAGGTATTTTTCAAATACTGGGATAAAAAAAATTGATCATTTTCCGAAGCATCGCTTCACTTTCTAGATTATTCGGTTGTTGGAGGAGGCCACAAACAAGCCGAATAGAGAAAAAGGGGATGGGACAAAGGAAACGCAAATAAATAAATAAATTAATAGATGGAGCTCGCAAAGATTTGAAACTGGAAACTGAAAGGAGTAACGTACAAGAACGAGAAAATAAAAGAAATCTTTTAGGCCTATCAAAAATGGCTTCACTACTGTGAGCCAGTGGCAGCACAACTTAACTGGAGGACAGTACGCCACAGACTGCCCCGGTTTTTTACCAAAGATTTTTTGCCCCGGCCTAAGATAATCCCTCAGAACTACTTTCTTAGAGCTTACAAGCTGAATAAACTTGGCGTTACAGAGCATGCCTAAGTAATGCTGCCAAGTCATCAGCTGACTGTAGCTACAAACATGGCAACAACTCCAGCAATGCTAACAAACCCAAGAGCTGTGCGCAAAATTTTGCTGATAAGCGGACTCTCTGTAATGCGATCTTTTTAAACTGTGATGGAGTAATCAGCGCTTTGTTTCCATCCGAATTTGTGTTAGAGTGACAGAAGGAGGCAAAGAAAAAGATTATAATTTTGTGATTCATTGCTATGTGAGGCGTGGAATGACACCAACAGAAAAGAGTGAGTGTAAAAAGGAGTGTGTATACAATGACAATGTGTATACTGTCAAAAAAATCTTGGCTAATCAGCGATTATTTGTTCCTGTTCCATCTGAAGAATTCTGAGAGATGATATTGGTTGGATGGATTGTGAGAATCAAACAATGCATTCAACTTCAACTGACAATACTTCGAAAAGGATGACAAATTACCTGAGGCAATTGAGACTGCAGGAAGAAACTTAGAGTTCTTCAAGTATATACAGCAAAAATCATTGTTAGGAACGGTGACAGCAAGCCGATTATGAACGATCGAATTCTGATCGATTTTAGGAGTTTCTGACAGATTTTAAGGCCTATCGATTTTCGATCGATTTCCAAAAAAAAAATGGCTTACAAGTGGAAGCGCCGTTTTTTGGACAACAGATCCAATAAATAAGAAAAGAATCAAGAAAATTAAGAAAGAATTACAATGAAAAAAGTATAAATGATGATTTGTAGTCCGTCAAATTAAATATTCGCGGTAATATTCAAAATATTTGAAAGCGCGCGCGATGAACGGTTGATTCGGAAAGGTTTGTTTATGTACTGCTTATCACTGTATTCTCTCTTAGTCTCTTGGTGAATGAGTGTTTTCTTGTCAGTTATTTTACTTTTTGATGATATTATCGAACTAATTAGATCATTACAATACTTCCATTATAAGGCAGTCAATTTGGATCACATTCTATCCTTTGGAGAAATGGTTAGCAAACCGGAAAGTGGTGTGTGTGACGGATCTACGAGATGTTGGTCCGCTCTCTGAATACCGATCAAAGCTATTCAATGGTGATACACGAGGTCCTTATTCACATTTAGTCATTAAATTTTCATCCGTAATTTGTAGTGTAATCCCTCGCAAGTGCGTGCTCTAATTTTCGAAAACTAGTTCGTTACTGAGTAATCATCATAGACATCGCCGCTTATGATAAACTTCTTCGGGCAGCTTCAAAATCATTTGTCATCTGTGATTTCATTAGTAATTTTATCTCTCATCCTCAGGTACCATGTGTCAAAGATTTCATAATATCACTTCTCCATTTAAGAAATTCACTTCCAAAATCCTCTGGTTGCTCATAACATCACAACTGTAATTCATCGGATCATTGGTTGCGATTAGGTTAGCGTAGCTAACCAGTACTAGCGTATTGGTCCAACAGTGCAAAAACACATGTAGTATTAAAATACCATAAACTATTTGAGAAGAAAGTTTTCCCATTCCTTACTGATTAAATGAATCGTCATTGATTTTTATCTTTGTCCCTAAGAGTTTCCATGATGGGTCCGAGTGACAATTGACAATGAACCCATAGGAGAGCCTTATAGAGAAATATCTACATAACTGCATGCCTAACCAGAGGTTTATTTATCTTGATATGCTGCCCCTTTAAGGATTGATTTATCAAGCAATAATAACTGTGCAATCATGAGGGGACTCTAAGAGTCCTGATAGTTACTAAATTCCAGGATAATCAGCTTTTAACAAGCTCAATTAGTCCAATCTCACAGCAGCAAGCGGTTAGTTTATCATCAGTTCTTCTCAGTTATGTGTTCAACTCAAAATGTTTTAAAACACTTGCTACCTAGAGCAACAAGTCACCAGGGACTTCACCAATTCTAAATAGCTGTGTCACTCAGAATTATGGCTTCCGCTTGTTCTATCGTACATTTTAAGGATTTGCGCTGCGATTTGCGATTTGCGATTTTGCGATTCTGATCGATTTAGGGCCGTATTTCTGCATTTTTGCATTGATTTGTGTCCTATCGATTTGACCGGCCCATAAGCGCAATGCTTTTCTAAATCGATAGCATCCCCAAATCATTCATAATTTCTGTCAGAAATCGATCGTTCATAATCGGCCTGCAGGTTCGGGTTCCATTTTTGTTTGTTTCAAACAAAATATAGTATAATATTCTACTAAATGAGCTCAATTAATAAATTAACAGCGAGAGAGTGTTTCTTTTGAATGTAATCACAGCCCACTCGCTGGCTGCATTTCTTTAAGAGTATTGGCATCAGACCCACTACTTTGGAGACACCCCATGTAAAAAAAATTAAAAGTGTCATCCTGCAAGTTTTCGGTTCATAAAATTATGAAAACAGGTTTGACCAGTCACTGATGAACTTGACAAAGATGATTTTCAGGGCAAGGCTAGTGTAGCCTACGCCCACAAAAACTGTGTTATCATCGCTACAAATACACGAAGTAATATTAAGCATCATGAGATCCTTTTCGTTGGTCAGAAAAACTCTGTAGGCCTGTCTCCATCGTAAGTCTTACATACTTCTCTCAATTTACAGGAAGATTAGAAAAATCAGAAAATTATGAATGTCTTGTGTCTGCAGAGAAATTGGAGAATTATGATATTGATTTGCAACTTGGCACATTTCTTGTCACATGATAAAGAAAGACTAACAGTTTGCGACTCATGAAAAAACTTAGGATGGTTTGTCTACACATTTCAAAAAATATTCTTCAAAATTCCAAGCGAGAATTTTACTTTGTCTTCCTTTGAAAAAAGTAGAAACAAGACTTTGGAAACAGCAATTCAAATAAATGGTACTTCAGTTTCAGCCTAGATTTTAATCCTTGAGAAAGTTGGATCAAGAACTGCCATTCCTTATTTCTTGCAGCTCCACTCAGCTGCTGTGCTAAAGGAGAGTGTGGTATTGTCAAAATTATCAATTTTGAAATCGTTTAAATTACCTATCACTGACTTAATACGAAGTAAAAATCTGCTCCTATCAAAATTACTGAAAATTTCAAATAACAAGAAACGGAACCCTCATTTTAACAAGCCAATAAAAATTGCTCAATTGGGCACTGAGATGCAATCATACTCACTTGTCACATTGATTCTAGTCTTTCTACATGTTCTCAGTTTTTGAAATTCAGAAATTTTTGTCTTCATGGCAAGGATGGTGCCAAGACTTCTTGAACGCTCCTCGTACTTAAATGTTCATAAGGTTCAATAGTCTCGTCAATATAATTTCCATCTAATATTTGCAATGAAAGATAATTTTTGATTTACCAAAAATATTCATTTCACACAATTTTCTACTTGAGAAGTGATGCTCTTCCTCACCACGGCAGTATGGAGGTAAGAGTTTATACACAGCTGTGATTTAAACGAAAGTAAGAGGCCCTTTTTTCTTATCGCCTAGACTTGTTCAGTATATTACTTCTCATGGTCGGAAATGAAATACTTATCTACTTGTAGGAGTTGAGGAGAGCTTGATCCTTTTTTTCATGAATGGTGATAATGGATAGCTTAACAAACAGATCAAGAGGGGACATAATTGAGACAATCTCACCAGTTGTAGTTAAACAATTATTAGAAGGACTAAACTCTGCAGGTACAACAATTAAAAATGAGAGACTAAGTTGACAGAAAAAGCTGTTTTCTTGCAATTCAGATGCAGTTACTATTTAAATATTTTACAGGGCCAGATTTCACCGGTCTTTAAATGCTTAAACAGAGCGTTTTTAGATGAAGTTGAAGGCATGCGTTGACATTGCTACAATATTTTGAAAGAAAATTACATCTTGCTTTAACAGTTTTGGTCCGTTGAGAGAGCTGATACTCTCACATTATAGTCCTAAGAAACGTCGATTTAGTGAGTAAAATTGTACTAAACATCCCTAAAGAGGTATTGTACCCAATGTTTAGGGAGAAAATAAATATTAAACCTAACAAAAAAATGTTAATGATTAAATAAATAAAGTTCTGATATGAATGGTTATTTCAAATTTTCTTGGAGGGGCCCCTTTTTTCTGATTCATTCTTACATCAATATACATCGTACTTCTTCTTGTAGGGGCAGCTTTTGACTGAAATTTTCAGATTTAAATTATAGCATTATTAAATTTGGTGTAAACATATTCAAGAAACTTTAAACATTTTCTACTAATCATGTATTTTGTTATATTGCCAACGGAAAACGAACTACAGTTAACTTCCTCTAAGTCAAATGTGGAATTTTTCCCTAAGTCAAATTTTTTAGGGTCCTGTCGAATTTTTCATACAAACAAAAAGCCCTCTAAGTAGAAATAACAATATGGTCCCTATGCAGTTTGACTTCGAGGAAGTTAACTGTATCTCTTTGCCTGTGTAGGTGCCAGACACACTTTTTCCCCCAAACAATGAGCCGAAAGTCCGGGGTACGCAACATACAGGAATATTAGGGTCATTTCTTTTAAGAAAGGTCCAAATCCGAAAAAAAATCGGCCGAAAATACCGGTCTTTTTGTGAGGAAATAAGTTTTCTGGGTCACACACATCCTAACTTATTATTTATGACTTATCACTGACCTACATTTTAATGGAGTCCTTTGAAAAATTTTGAAGACCATAAAAAGTTGTACTTTAGTCTGAAAACGAAGTTCTTGAAATCTGAGCACTGTGAGACAATTTAGATTTAGTCAATTTCTTCACACCATGTTTATAATAAGTTTAAATGAGGGTTTCCATGAAAAACAGTAAATAAGGAGATACATTTAGGCTGTTCGGGCATTGAGTGAAAACAGTCTGAAAAGCCATTCAGCAGACATGGCCCTGTTTTCACATAAACAATACCTAAACGGATCAGCCTGAGGCTCGATGCCTACGTTTTTTACCGGATAAAAACAGTTTCTGCAAGCGGACAAAAAAGATCGAAAGTTGAAGCCACTGTCATTGAGGTACTCTAATGAACATGAGAAAGATCATAGTTTGTGTCATTGTTGAGGATCTTTGGCCTAATTCAAATTTTTGTAGGTTCTTAGCTGTCCAATAGCTATCATGAAAAGTATGTCACTTGCAAGTTAACTTATATCTTAAGCTTGAATTGGAGGAAAATGGAAAATTGAAACAAAAGTTTTTGAGATACATATTTTAGTTGGAACAATGAGAGGCCAAATAATCAAGCTTTTAAAATCATTTGTACTTCAATTTAAATGACGTATTCAAGATCTGTGTAAAAAGTTGGCTGAGAAACATTCCTTCAAGAAATGGTTGATTGATGCTAAGGACCATCAGGAACAAAGAGAGGAAAATACAGAAAATGAAAATCGCTGGGGCCGGCTTTTTCGAGTACGGCTTGAATTCGTCCCATTTATATTATGGGTCTATGTTACATTACAACGAATTGTTGGGAAGGAAAATTCTTTAAATTCGTTTCTTAGAATAATAGAAATACCATGTACACCAAATTTGAAGCAAATCAGAGGGGGTTTCGGACCTAGTTGTTATGAAGTGGATAAACCCTTTTCTCAGTGCTATTGAGCCTGAGTTATGATTTTTGCCCATCCTATCACTCCACTGAGAGACATTGCTTGCACTTGAATCGAAAAAACGTTACCCCTCAAAATAAACAATTGACACTCAAAGGAGAGCTTCGTTTTTGAACGAAAAGGCAACACTCCTACTATGACACTCATATTTTCTACCAGCCCCACCTCCTTTATCTTTGGCTGATATCTGTAAAATACAGATTGCACAAAATATGCAGGTCTGCACTATTGGCCAAAAAATACAGCCAAGTCAACAAATGAAGAATTGATAACGCTTGGACTGCATTATGTGAATACTGTCTTATATTATAATCGAGCATCGTAAGTTTTTAAATTAATTATCCATTGGCATACTGGTCATCGAGGTTCACTGAAATTCATATGGCACAGTAACGACGTGAAATAGTTTCTATAAAGAGGGTATTTCGAGCAGAACATGTTCCGATAGAGCAGAAGTTAAGTAAGTTTAGGAATGAAATTGAAAACACGTCTCAAAATGCTCCATTCATGGCAGGTGACATTTTTAGTTCAGAGACTACTCATACATTCATAAGAATAGTGAAACAGGATGGGAAGGGGGAGCAAAGATGATGAAAAAGATTTCAAAGCAGAGAAACTTGAAATCAGGAATAACATGCATTTTCCATTTCATTAAAATTTACCAATTCTGATTACAACTAGCTGACATTGTAGAAAAATAAATAAATTATTACAAAATAATACGTAAAGTTTCAAAATCCGTGTTCAGTTGCACTTACAGTGTAGGCTTCATCAGGACAAAGTTGTTTGAAGACAGATTCAATGAGTGGTTGTCTGAAAAAAGATACCCAAGCCAGAAAACTAATTAAAAGAGTTATTAAGAGACGTCACTTCAAAGTGTCCCCTTGAAAGGAGGAGATGATGCACACTTGCAGCGAGGAAAAATGAGAATAGGCCCGAAAATTGGAGAAATGAATTGGTCACACAAGCAAACATGCCAGATTGTGAAAAGCGCTCTGGATACTTTACATAGAGTTGAATGGGGAAATGTTCCATTTCAAACAGAGCACACGAGAGATTAACCCAACTGACAATGAATAGACCATGCCGTCTGATGCATCAAGTTATCAAACGGTAGAATTGACTTCTTGAGTAATTTTTCTTATATGTTGGGTTTTCTTGTATGCCTCGTAGCAGCAGATTCTAACCAAGCGACCCTTTTTATTTCTTTTCCTCACTAGGAGTTGATTCTTGAGAAAAATTTTGAAGAAGTCTTTAAAATTATGTAACACTTTAGTTGGAATCATTAAAAGGTAGTAATCTGAAATTAACTTCACAACTGAAAACACAGGTTTCCCCAGAGCTTCCCTTCCAGAGCACCTGCCCAGTCAACTATTTTCTTCTCCAGAACGGCTGAAATTTGAGCATCGGGACAAAAACTTGCTCAGATACGAGGGGCGTTCAATAAGTAAGTATCCCCCCTCTATAAAATCAATCAGAATGGACCAATTTTAAAAAACTTGAGTTCAAAATCTTTCTTAGGATATACCGAGTTCAACAAAATAAACTACAACAAAATCGGACCATGTGCGGCTGAACGCGAGCCGTTTGAAAGCGCCGAGATGCTCGCCGCTCCCGCCGGATCCGCGGGGATTTGAAGTCCGCGACACGAGAAGAGCTTCTCTGCCAAAGCCTCAGTCGTTCATCACTGACGAAAAATCAACGAAGTTCTTGTAAAATAAGGGGCTTACCTCACTTCTCCACATAACCAGCTCGATCCAAGCAGGCCTGATACTGAGACTAAGAGAACAGCTTGTGGATGCCACGTGCGTGAAAGTCTTTCAACTGACTGGGGCTGAAAGAGTGGACGGCTTGTTTGACCTCTTCCACTGATTCAAAATTAACTCCCCCAAGTTCAGATTTCAGATACGGTAATAAATGGTAGACCGGACCTCCGTTTATTCCTGCTTCTAAAATCTGAACTTGGGGGAGTTAATTTTGAATCAGTGGAAGAGGTCAACTACGCGCGTGGCATCCAAAAGCTGTTCTCTTAGTCTCAGTATCAGGCCTGCTTGGATCGAGCTGGTTATAAGGAGAAGTGAGGTAAGCCCTTTATTTTACAAGAACTTCTTTGATTTTTTGTCAGCGATGAACGACTGAGGCTTTGGCAGAGAAGCTCTTCTCTCGTCGCGGACTTCAAATACCCGCGGATCCGGCGGGAGCGGCGAGCACCTCGGCGCGTTCAGACGGCTCGCGTTCAGCCGCACATGGTCCGATTATTGAATTTGAAATCAGATAATATTGACGCCTGACGTGGAACTTCTAAATAAAAACGGGAATGGGCCTATTGCAAACATTTGCTAGAGCAAAGATAAGAGTTGTTTCCCATAGATGATGCCTGAAAAATCACAATGAGCGCATCGGCAAAGTCTGAAATGCACTCATATCTTCACAATCTGCGTAAGAAATTTGCGTGTTTTTGAGATTCCCGCTTCAAAAACGACACTACCGCACAGGTGAACATTTTGCTAGATGAGTCGCTCCATCGTCGGCAATATTCATCATAGCCGACGCTCCCACAGTTTCGCGCGCAATTCGAGGAGAGTTCAAGGTCAATCAAGGTAGGCGAGGGAAATATGAACGTAAACACGCCGATTGTTATCTGGTCTTCTTGTCAGGTGTTATTTCGTCCCATCACACATAGAGTACCTATATTAAGAGAGTATGGCCACTTGAGTTACCACCTCTGATTGGCTCAGCCATCTTAGGCTGAATGGAGCCCTTAGGACCCAAAAATGGCGGACGCCATAAGTTAATGTAATGCAAAATGACTCAAAATGTAGTTGTCTTTGCTTATCAAAACGAGAAATTTACCAAAATGCACTATTGCAACCTCGTTACATATTTTTAAGGCTAATCGTGTGCAATTTTCGAGAAAAATTATCTTGGATGTAGTAAGGTTGGCAGCGAGTGCAGTTGGTGATATCCGTCAAAAGTTGGCAATGACCCCCCTCCCATCCACAAAAACCAAAACAAAGCACCGCCATTTTTGGGTCCTAAGCCTCTCCATGGGACCCAGTGGCCATACTCTCTTAATATAGGTACTCTTATCACACATGTTTTGGCGGATTGGCGTCGGTCATGATGAATACAACAATGCCGACAATGGAACGACTCCTCTAGCAAAATGTTCACCTGTGCCGTAGTATCGTTTTTGAAGCGGGAAGCTCAAAAAAACGCAAATTTCTTACGCAGATTGTGAAGTTATGAGTGCATTTCAGACTTTGCCGATACGTTCATCGTGATTTTTGAGGCATTATCCATAAGAGACAACCCTTAGTTTTGCTCTAAGAAAAGTTTGCAACAGGCCCATTAAGGAAAAAAAGAGCTCGAAACAAATAGTTCTTATTTTTGGCCACAAATTTTGAATCCGAAGTCAAACACACCCTTCCTATTTGAAATTAGCGAGAAACGGAGGGGGAGGGGGTACCCCCCCACCATGGGTTTTGGGAGGGCTGAAAATATTTTCATTGAATTCTTAGGGGTCGATTTACCTGCAAAAGTTGCAAGAGTCCCGCAGCAAAATTCTCGGCCTTTTCCGATAAAAAGAAAGAGGACGGATGCTCTAGATCACCTAGTATAAATAAAATCGCGGACAAATTTCTAAAAGCCCACTTTTCCCCTACAAACGCTTAAAAATCGATATCAGCGAAAATTTTCCCGGAATTTTTTTTTTTTTTTTTGGATAGGAACAAATTTCAATTCACATGGTTACAAAAAAAATTGTATTTCCGTAAATCATTATTAAATACACTGTATTCAAGATGAAAATTGAGGCAGAAATCTAATAGAAATGGATATGTGGCATTCTGATTAGGCAATTCACAGGACAGATTGGATTCTATCTAAATAAAGCATGATGGAAAGTACAGAAAATAGAATGAGCAGTGGGCTGATTATTGAAATTGACCAACAAAGCCACAGACAGAGAGGACAAATGGAAAATGGAGCTATCTTATTGTGTAACGGGTGCTTGTTACAGATTAAGGGAGAAAATGATGGTTTACCGATAGGGTCTCCCATGGGTTGCCATTCTTTAGTCTGTTGTTTACCTCCCCTGACGATTACACTGCCCACTTCCACCTGTAGAATCGCTCTATTTTCCCTTAGTCTTCGTTGTCTATAGCTTTGTCTATCAGTTTCAAAAATCAGTCCATATGTTCCTGTTTAATTGAGAAACTGGCCTTTAACATTCTCCTATGAATTGAAAAAATTGGCGATTCGAGACACAAAAAAATTGGAATCATTACTAGTTTAAATTGACAGGACACTCACATTTTGTTTGTACCTATCCTTAATAGTAGGGTGGGCCAAAAATTTTTTGTTAGAAATCCCAAAATGGCTAGGGCTTAAAAGTTGTCAATAGGCACTGATAGAACAAGGAAAAAATCCCGGGCCATAACTCCTCCATCTTCATTGTCAACCTGGGGTTTGAACTCTAGAGGGCTGAATATTCCCTTTTTTCGAGTTTTTTCAAAGTAAAATCACTCTCTGCGCCTACATCAGGGTCAAACCTTTTGCAAGCTAAGGTAACCCTGTGTATTTTGAAACAAGAGATCGATTTCTAAAAAAAAAAAATCGATATGTTGAAATCCAATATCAATTTTGGCGAAATATTACGTAAAAAACGTTGTTTATTTGGCTTTTTTCACGCCTAAGGTACTTTATGTAAGAAATAATTGGATCGCATTTAACAAAAAGGAACCAGCGCGATTGTAATGTTTTAGGAATGATTCTTCTTCAAAATTATTTAAAAAATCTTTCAGAATAGTAAAAAGTTTTTGCTTTCCACCAAAAAAATTGTTATTTGAATGGAAAACAATTGTGTAAATTTTAATACTGTACATATATTGAGAATTTGTAAAAAAAAAGAGAAGAAGTTGCACGATTTTGAAAACACTTTAATTGCGCTGGTTCCTTTTTGCTATATACGATCCAATTGTTATAGTGACCTTTTGACCCAAAAAATTGATTATTTTAGCAAAATTACCCGCGTAGACAAGTCTAAATCATCGGAATGGTCAAAAGTGGCGGTGGTAAAGGTATAATTTAGAAGTAACAGGAAGGTCTTTTTGCAACAGCTCTTAATTTAACCAATACGTCATTTCAAGGATATATACGACCAACACAGGGTCTCGTTAGGCTTATTCTACTAAGAGGACGTTAAGATTGATTAGGGTGTTAGGTATGGCTGATGAAACAGGGGACCCGGGAGGTTTTGGAGGCAACAGAGATGGACTTTAGGCGTAAATCCGCTGGTATTTCCAGCAAAAATCGCGTCAGAAATGAGACGGCAAGGGAAATCATAGGTGCCACACAGGCCATCGTGCATGACATTGAGACGAAACAACTTATTTGGTATGGTCACGCTAGAAAAGGGCAGGAGATAGGTTGCCAAAGACGGAACTTGATTGGGTTTTTCTTGGGAGAAGGTGCAGAGGGCGTCCATTGAGGGGTTGGAGGGGTGGGATTGAAGCAGAAATATTAAGATGCTCAATGCCCGAGGGGTTGTGGTTCGATAGGAGGCAGTGGAGGTTGGGTGTCGTAGAGCTCCAGGGAGTGCCATGAAGCAACTTATATGTATGGACTTTAGGATTGATTTGATTTCCAGAACTTACCACCAGGAGGTGACTATTAATCGAGTTGTGCCCGTGTCTCTCTTCCTTTGAGGCACGTTTGATTACAATGCATAAGAAATAGGAATTATTTCACACCATTTGGGGATAATTTTTTTGATGTAGTTATTTCTAGCTAAATAGACGCACACCATTGCA